CGATAGCTGGTTAGTGGAGCATTGGGCAAGGCACACGGGTTCAGTGTGACTTTGCAGGGGCGCTGTTATGTTAGAGGCAGCGTGGATACCAGGAGGGGATATGGATCTGGTATGGGTAGGGCTTGGCGTGAGTCAGGCTTGGTGTGACGGATTGCTTGGGACGAAGCAGTTCGTGAACATGCACAGGGAAACGTTTGATGCTGCATGGTGCGTGTTGCTAACCAGTGGCAACTACTGGTTAGTGGAGCATTGGGCAAGGCACACGGGTTTAGTGTGACTTTGCAGGGGCGCTGTTGTGTTAGGGGCAGCGTGGATACCAGGAGGGGACATGGACTTGGTATGGGCCGGATGCAGGAAGTCAGCTGAACGGGGCAGTTAGCATGAGTCGCGGCCGTATAACAGGTCGACGGCTGAGGGGCGAATGGCTTGGAACAAAGCGGTTCGTGTACATGCTGGAAAACGTTTGATGCTGAGTGGTGCATATGGCCGGCTAGTTGGGATAAACATGGTTGTTCCTACCCATGTGTATATGTGAGATAAGTTTTTTTTTTTTTTCTCCTAAGGGAAGGTGGAGATGGTAAGATAAGTCTTTTCTCCTAAAGAGCATATTCGTCAAGGTGGAGATTTGTTGAGTTATCTTTTTCTCCTAAAGGACATATTTGCGAAGGTGGAGAAGTCTTTTCTCCTAAAGGGCATATATGTGAAGGTGGAGATGGTGAGATAAGTCTTTTCTCCTAAAGAGCATATTCGTCAAGGTGGAGATTTGTTGAGTTATCTTTTCTCCTAAAGAACATATTCGCCAAGGTGGAGATTGTTGAGTTTGTCTCATATATGGATTAGGAATAAGTGTTTGTCTCATACTAGGAGTAGGAGTGAAACAAGTAGACCTATTGTATAAGGATTAGATGCCTATAAATATATTGGTTGTATCCCTATAGGTAGTGTCACCACTATCACCATCACTATGAATATAAGAATTCTTTCACTCCCGTGGATGTAGGCACCTTGCCAAACCACGTAAATCTTGCTCTTCTTTACCCTTTATGCCATTATTATTGCTTCATTGTTCTTGTTAATCTCAACAGAAACTTTGTCTAAAAGACCATTCAGGTTATGTACAATAATATTATAGTTGCTTATAATCAAACTCTGGTACTTGTGTTGAAAGTAGGGGCCAATCTACCACTAGGCTAGGAGGGATGTTGTGAACCAAATCATGATGTCCAAACCTGAGATTTTAAACTCATCTAGATCACCTATATGAGTTTAAGAAACCCTTTAGGTTGCTTCATAAAAATCTACTAATCTAAATCACTATACAGAAAAGCGATATTCACAAACATCTACTCCAAATGCAAATTCAAAATTGCTACTAAAGAAAGTGTACTAACTTAATAGAAGGGCTGTTTCAATAAAAATTGAGACCCTGTGTAATATTTTATTTTGGGGTTTTTTTTTTCAAATAATTTCTATATATAAAAATAATAGTTGTTCAAAAAGTTGAATCAATATTTTATAAAAAAGACATCTAAATTTCATTTAAAAGGTGACATGCGTCATGCATATTTAGATGTAAAATCATCTACAAAAATTTTGATATCAACTTCTTCCAAAAGCTCATTTTCAATGGAGATTAAAACTAATCCATTGAGTCTTTCTTGCAACATACTTGATCGTGAGTAAGATTTCAACAATTTTAACTTTGAAAAACTCCTTGGTCTATCATTTTGACAAATGTCATCTAAACAACTATCAACATTCATATTATTTTCATTGCCGCAATGATATCTATTATCGTTGTGCACACTATCATTTTTTATTTTTTTTTTTGAATCTCACAATCATCTTGATCTTCTATATGAAGATTATCATCTAACAATTTTTCTTGGCATCATCTTTTTGCACATCTATTTGAGTTTCTTTTGTAATGAAACTTTCAAGAGCTCTCTTTTGAGATTGAGTTAGTTGTTCAATTCTTCTCGCTTCTCAGGCCCAGATGAAAATTTTCTAAAAGACATAATTATAAAATCCTAAGAAAAAAAAAAAGAATTTATATAAAAATTCTATGAATAAATAATTAATAAAGAAACAAATTCTTGAATATATTATTCTGAAATTAGAATTATTAAGTCATGTTTATAAAACAATAAATAAAAATTGTAAAAAATACGTAATTTTAATTACCTGTTAAGAGAATTGAAGAACTTGAGAGTTTGTGTGCTACACTGGAGATTTGGGAATTCCGTTAGTGTATTGTGTAGCCGTGTTGACTGCAAAGAGAGCAGGAGGAAAACATGTGAATCATATATTAATATTGCGAATTGGGAATATTAGGGTTGCGCTAGGGTACTGGTACATATTTTATAGGTTTGCGAATTGGCAATGTCCGACTAATTGAGAATTGGGATTAGGAAATATATATATATATATATATATATATATATATATATATATATATATAGTTTTTTTTAGGTTTTTAAAGTAATTGTCAATCAGGCTCAATTTCACCTTATCAAAAATTGACTTAATCTCCATGCACATAGTCTGAAATCTTATATATATATAAAATTTGTTTCCCGTGCGGTTGTGCGGTCTTAAGGTGTGTGAGTTTTGTGTTTAAGGTGCGTGAGTGTGTACTTAATGTGAACAGTGTCGAAACTTAAGGTGCATGAGTTTTGTGATTGAGGTGCGTGAGGTTTGTACTTGAGGTGCGTAAGTTTGTGTTTAAGGTGCATGTGTTTTGTGACGTGCGCGAGATTTGTGTTCTTAATGTGAGTAGTTGTTGAAACTTGAGGTGCATGAGTTTTGTGCTTAAGGTGCGTGAGTTTTGTGTTTTAGATGCTTGAGCTTTGTGCTCAAGGTGTTTTGGTTTGTGTTCTGGGGGTGTTTTGTTTGTGTGCTTAATATGTGTGTGTTTTGTACTTAAAGTGCGTCACTTTAATGCTTAACGTGCGTCCACCCGCACAACCGCACGGGATATATATATATATATATATATATATATATATATATATATATATATATATATATATATATATATATATATATATATATATATATATATATACCCCCAAAAATTGGGGGTTCTGTGCAATCGCCCATGATAGACATGCTTAGAGTCGGTCCTGCCTAATAGTAGTATATCTAACAATATAAGAGAAAATCTCATCACAATTTATCTGCTTTTGTTAAGAAAACCCTTCATGAGACTTGAATCTTTCTTCCATTTTTTTTTTCCTGATACTGGTGGCTTCTTCCTATAGACCCACTTGCACCGTAACTTTCTTGCCTTAAGGAAGTTGATCTACCTCCAAGTATGATTTTAGTGTAAAGACTCTTATCTCAATCATACGTGTCATACATTTATTTTTCTCCTAGCTAGAAATAACATCTTGAAGCATCTTGAAAGATAATTGGATCATTATTAGTAACAAGAAGTGCACAAGAGATCATATCACCAAATAATTCTGGTGACAATAATTATGCAAATCCTTTGAATTGGAACATGTTGTAGACGCTGAACTTGCTATAAATGAACATTTTATGTGGTTCAATATTGGGCCTATGTCCACAAAAGCGAAACTATATATATATATATATATATATATATATATATATATATATATATATATGGGAAAATAGCACTTTTTTCATGAATTATATACTTATTGAAAAAAATTAAAAATATTTATTGTTGAATTTTGACTATTTTAAAATAAAAAAATAAAATTTTAAAATTAAGACGATTTAAAATCGCGAATCGAATCCGGAACCGCCGATTCACGGTTCAGGATTCAATTTTTTCGATTCATAATTATAATAAACTGAAAATCAAATATTGGGTTCTGGATTTGAATCATAACCGGAAATTTTTAATTCGATTGCTATAGTGTCCGATTCAGTTCGAATCGAACCGTGGTCATCCCTACGTATACGCAATAATTTGTTGGAGAAGAAAAATAAATAAAATGTTTACTGTAAGGGTAGAAATGTCAATTTAATATATTATGGGGAAAATCGCCATTTTTAGAATAATTCAAGGGAGTAATGTGCTTACATGAATAATTTATGAGCAAAAAGTGCTATAAGTATATAACTTAGTGGAAAAAAGTATCATTTACCCTTTTTATTTTTTATTTTTTATTTTTTATTTTTTATTGTAATTATGGTCAAACATTCAGGGTTACAAGCAACATATTTATAAGAAACCTTAAACAAATACATGTACAAAAATACACATGTACTGTACTGCGGGGGCAGCCCAACCCACTCCGTTCCATTTAACATCAATCACCCTTTAATACATTTGGGAAATACACAATATGTAATTTAGATTTAACGTTAACATCAATCACCCTTTAATACATATGGGAAATACACATGTAATTTAGATTTAACGTTTTAATTTGGATAATGTGAATAATGTCTCATTCTAAATGATGTAAGTAACTTATATTGGGATATAAGTAAATTGTAAATGGATAAGATAGATGATGGTATGTAAAGTAAGAATAAAAAATACTAATATATATAATTATAGTGGTAGATAGATCAATGAGTCGATAAGGGTGAAAGTAGTAATAGGGATAGGCATGCCGTATGTGCAAGTAGGTGGTAGAGATAGATAAATAGATGGTGATTTAAAAGTTGGTCTTATTGGTTTGGATAGATCAAACAATTTAGGCTGATTTATTTTCTTGTGGTCTTTAGATTTCTTCAATATACAAGATTAAATAGTGATGGCATATTTCAATCGTTAGAATTCATATATTACCATCACATATATTTATTATGTAAGGGAATTTGAGTATATTAATTAATTATTTTTAGTAATTTAATTTTCACCAACTAAACAAAAAAAAAAAAAAAAAAAAAAAAAAGCTTAAGTGCAATTCCGTAGCATGAATCAAAACTGATTCTTCATGTTGCATTCTGACCTTCCATAAGTGTTGTTTCGGTGCACAAATCATAAAATTTTCTTCATCAAAACTTTTTTACAGGTTGCCTTCAAGTTATAAGTAATTAGTTGATGACGTGGAGGTGATTTGTTATTGACATGTTTTAATTTGTAGGGGTGGTAGCTATTTCATCACTTCGCTCTAATAAACTCAAAAATGAAATATGAAACCGAACTCTAAATACAATTCGCTTAAGGCATACCTGACCATGCTTAGGTGAGGGAGAAATTCCAAGGGTAAGGCCACCAACAGCAACAGAGGCAAGATGGGCAATAGCAACAGAGGCAATATCTGGAACAACTGGAACAAGAGGGAGGCCTACTTTTGCGGTTTATCCAACCAGTTCAGAATCATAAAATGGAACTTCGTCTAGTCGAAAGGCAAAATGAGTCCTTGTAGAAGCTGCTTGATCTACATATGCTTCAAGGTGAGGGATGCGTTTGATCTTGTTTAGCCTCCAACGGGAAGAAATCTTTCATCTGAAATAGGCAAGTTTAAGGGGGTTCCTATAAAAGCGGGAATCAGGCTCATAATCATAAGATGAATCGGCGTAATCGGCTTCTACTTCAGCTTCTAGGATTTGAAAAATCGAGAATAAAAATCATGTGAATTGCTGGATGCCTTGAAAGTTGCCGGCAGAACACTGCATAGAAAACTTGCACAGCCAACCATGTTGCCGGAACTCCAGGAGTGGCTGGAAAACTCCATGATAATGTAATACAAAGCTAAGAAAAATCCAATCGAATTTATGACAAAGTCAAAATTCGAGAGGAGCTAACCCAAATAATGGGACAATCCAAAAATAACAAGTGTCAACATATCTTAATCCAAGCCAACCGAGGTTTCGACAGTGGAGAGAATGCAAAGAAAAAAGCACTCCAATTTGTGGGAACCTAGAGAGAAGCGAGAAAACTAACTCTTACTAGACCCGATTGTCTGGACCATGCAGTGGAACGACGACAGGAGAACGGTGGAGGAAAACTCCAATTTTTCCGACCCGAAATCATAGAGCTTGCAGTTTGGCCGCGAGTCTAGGAGAATGTTTTCATCGCCGTTGGCGTCAAATCGGATTGACAGTGGAGGGAAGATATTAGAGAGCAAAAGAGGAGGGAAATACAGACCGGTCGTTATGAACTGCAAGATTAAGGAAGGTGAGAAGAGCAGCTTCGCGGGCAGGCAGAGAGGAGGAGGGGTAGAGCATTTGGACGAGAGGTGGAATGACGCCGACGGCGGCGAAGCGAGAGCGAGTATTGGCGGAGGAAGACGACTTCCTGACCAGTTTTCGTATATTCCAATTATTTTTTTTTAATTACAAATGCTTACATAGACTCCATTTCTCATTTTTAATTTAAAAAATCAATAAGGCCATATCAAATTATACCGACACGGAAACTTGTAAAAAAGTCTAGGTGAAGAATTTTTTTAGTTTGTACATCGAAACACTTATGAAAGGTCAGAGTGCGGGATGAAGAATCGGTCGATTTTAGTTAATGGTGTGGAATAGCATTTAAGCCAAAAATATATTTCTTATCTCTCCTATATTTCCCTTGAGTGCACATGAATTTGCTTACTCCACTACTAATTAAAAAGAAAATTTAGTAACCAATGATATTTTAATTAGGAATGGATTTACAGAAAAAAAACTCTCTAGAGTCAATATTTTAAGTAATTATTTTCATATGAAATTTCTTCTCAATTCTTTTTGACGAACCAAAGGGGCGGGCCAGTTTATTGTCTTTATTTAATCAACAATATCTTTGGCACGCCATAGTACCTACCATCTAGAAGCTGAATAAATAATCAACATAAACATTTATTATACATAGAGTGGCCCATGCCATGCCTCAGAGGCTCAGATAGACTAAATCAACATACCTACTAAATTACGGTTGGCAAATGCTTATCATGTACCACTGTCCAGTGTCCACGATTGAAGATGATGACAGAATTAATATAAATCGTAGCTATAAACTAAAAAACATATACATGGAAATTTCATTGGAAAACAGCCGTGCAGAATAATCTTATTTTTTCTCAATTTGTATTCTGCCGCCCATGTTTAAAAAAAAAAAAAAAACAAACAAACAAACAAACAAACAAACAAAGTCAACAAAACCCTTGTATTCAAAATGAAAAAATGACACTTATAATACTTTTTCTTCATAAATTATTCATGTATCTATATTATTTCTGAAATGATTTTGAAGGTGATATCTTCACGTTAAAATACTGTTTGAACTGTTAAAATAAAAGATAAAGTATTTATTTTAAGTCAATTTTCTAAAAGTACATAACCTTCAACCTATGCTGCTGCCTTATCTATCCAAAAAAAAAAAAAAAAAAAAAAAGTTGTCTAAGCTCATGCATAATTTTGCACTTCTATTTGAAGTCAAAACATATATAGTAGAAATTATATATTGTTTTAAAACAAATGTATCATAATATATTCAAAAAAGATATCCTTAAAATACATTCCCATCAAATACTTATGAAAATGTCACCGTATTTGTTTTTAAAATAGTATTTTTGATTTGTTAGATTTGGACACGTGAACGGCTATGATTGGTTCTCAATTCTTTCCTGGGCAGTTGGTCCTCACTTGATCCATCTCATATATCTTTGGATCCCATGAGAATGCACCCAAGGAAGAAACTAAGAACAAATATTAGCCTTATATATAAAAATTTGATGGTTCTGATAAGATTTATAAAAAATAAAAAAATGTGGTGACTTTTTTGTAATTATCATTAACTTTACTATGTAAATTTGAACAGTTAAATATGCAAACCTAGTAATAAATTTTATAAAATCAATTAAAAAGCTGAATTTTAAATCTAAACCGTAAATGCTAGATGTTAAGCAGTAAAAAGTGAACCACTAAACCTAAAACCAAAGACGCAGTCATAAACTCTAAGTGTAATGTATTTTTGCATTTTTGTAATTACAATCTTTTAATAGTAAATGTGCAACTATTTATAACTATAGGTGCACCTACTTTCACCGTGTAAGTAATTTTGTCTTGTTAACATTCATTGATCTGAGTTCAGCGGGTAGTAATACCCCTGAAAACCACTCGCAAACACTCATGCACCTAGGTGCAACTACTTATAACTATATGTGCAACTACTTAGAACTATAGGTGAAACTACTTATAACTGTAGGTGCACTTAGTATTGATACTCGGTGTAAATTTTTACTTGCACCTATAATACATTTTACATGCACTTGTAATACATTTTACTTGAACTTCGATGTTCAATTATTTACGAAAATGCCACCTCATTTTTTTAATCCATTAGATCTGGACACGTGTCGCGCGCTGATTGGTTCGCATATTCCTTCCTGGAAACTTCATTTGCACCTGAGTGCAATTCTATATATATATATATATATATATATATATATATATATATATAAAAGCTCATGGCTGGCTCGATGTGCGACGTGTGTATAATATTTGAGCTTGAGTTTAGTTTAATAACCTAACGAGTCGGTTCACGTTCAAAGTTGATCAAATTCGAGTCAAATTTTGGCTTAACGACTCGTGAGCAAATCGGCTCATTTGCACCCCATTTACAAGCGATAATAACGTAAGGGAAATGTAATATTGCATAGGACCTATGTTTTCCCAAGCGTGCACGTTAGGTTAACGTGAGTCTTACGTTAACCCCTTGCAAGTTTTTCCATATATTTACGCGTACTCGCGTTAGCGTGCTCTCTCTGATTGCAGAATATCTTTTGTTTGGTAAAATTTAATTGTGTTAATTAGAATGTATAAATAGTTGATAATATTAGCAGATTGTAGAAAAGTGTTTGGTAAATTAGCTGATAGCTGATAGTTGTTTGGTATAATTTTTTTTTTCTCAAAAAGTTAATTGAAAAAGTTGTTTGAAGTAGCTTTTTGAATTTTAGCATTTTAGAGTTGCAAAAAGCTAATTAACCAAACTTTTATATTAATATTTTAACTAAATTAAACAATTAATAGTTGTCAAATAAACCAAAATTGAAATATAGACCAATTTTTTACCAAACATGGCCAATAACTTTTAACCCAAAATAAATTAAAATGTATGTCTCAGACTGTTACATAGATTTCTTTTTCATAGAATGGATTGAAATTAGATAAAATTGTAATACTTATAACGTAGAATGGATTGAATTTAGATAAAAGTGTAATACTTAGAGTTAAATTGATTATTATTTATGAGGAAAAATGTTATACTTTTAAATAAAAATGTATTATGTAATACTTTTAAATCAAAATGTAATATTTAGGAGTTGAAGATTTATTTATGGGAAAAAAAAGTGTAATACTAATCATGTAAATTAATCATTATTGCAAAAATTGGTCTAGGTAACAACTTAGGCGCTAGGTGCCTAACTCGGCCGACTCGACCTTACTAATTTTTTTCTATATATATATATATATATATATATATATATATATATATATATATATATATATATATATATATATATATATATATATATATATATAAGGTTCAAGTGCAGTTGATGCGCCTATGTGCGGTTGTGCGGTGAGATTAGAGCCATTGATTTTGCTTAAATCAACATCCAGGATTACAAAAATAAATAATAATAATAATAATAATAATAATAATAATAATAATAATAATAATAATAAATGCGGTGGCAATTTGATAATTTTTTCATCTAGGTCAAATTTAAGGTGCGTGATTTTGTGTTTAAGGTGCGTGAGTTTTGTGTTTATGTGGGTTGTGTACTTAATGTTAGTAGTTGTTGAAACTTTAGGTACGTGAGTTTTGTACTTAAGGTGCGTGTGTTTTGTGCTTAAAGTGCATGAATTTTGTGCTTAAAGTGCGTCGATTTTGTGCTTAATATGAGTAGTTGATAAAACTTAAGGTGCGTGAGTTTCCTTCTTAAGGTGCGTTGTTTTCCTTCTTAGGGTGCGTGATTTGTATGGTTAAGGTGCGTCATATCAATTGTGTGAAACTTACGGTGAGCCATTTTAAAACCTTAAGTTCATGGTTTGTGTGCTTAAGATGCGTGGCATGTGTTCTTAATGTGTTTTGTTTGTGTGCTTAAGGTGTGTGGGTCTATGTACTTAAGGTGAGCTATTTTAATGTTTAAGGTGCGTCAACCACACAACCGCACGAGAACCCTTCCCCGCACTATAACCCTTCCCTATATATATATATATATATATATATATATATATATATATATATATATATATATATATATATATATATATGACATGAACCCATAAATCCACACACATGCACTGTTTTTATTTTTTATTTTTTTAGTTAGCCGTCTAGACGCTAGGCGCTAATCGGGCGGGTCTAGACGCTAGGAACTTCTCTACCGCCCGATTAGCGTCTAGCGCCTACTGCAACCAAGAAATTAATTGATTATTACTTATAAGCGATAACGTACTATTTCTGTAGAAAAATGTAATTCTAATAATGGATTAATTGATTAGTACTTATTAAGAAAATGTGATAATTTTGAGTTAATATATAATGCTTTAAAATCAAAATGTTATATTTGGTGATTGAAGAGTTACTTATGAGGAAAATTATAATATATATGAAGAAAAATGTAATATTTATGAAAAATGTGATATGTCTCATCACATATAATAAGGATTAATGAAACGGTCTTATAAGAGATTATGCTAAAATAAAAATAATAATTCATTAATTTAATGTTCTAAATCTAAATCTAGGTCAAAGTACTTATGAAGTCCATGTACTATTGGATTTTGTTCAATTTAGTCCTTGCACATTTATTCTGTTCAATTTAGTCTCTCTACTTTGAAAAATGGTGAAATTAAGGACAATTGTCCAAATCTTAATAGTAACATGGTTGTAATTATTTATTTTGGACATACTAATTTAATATATCAGTGCTAAAAATAATTAATTTTAAATATTTATAAAGTAATATATGAGTAGGAATATAAATATCGTCAATGCCACGTAACCTAAGTTAACGGTAATATTAACACCGTTAACTATTGTTCTTAATTGCATCACTTTTGAAAGTATAGGGATTAAATTGAAAAAAATAAAAGTATAAGGACTAAATTGAACAAAATGCTATAGTACAGGAAACTCGTAGATACTTTGACCTCTAAATCTATGTTGCTTTTTATTTCTAATTTTTATAATCGGCTTTCATCAAGTTGTTATACCATGGACTAAGGTCCACCTTGTAAGGTTTAAACGATGTATAAATTGTGTATTTTTAGTATTAGAATTGTGAACTTTTAGAATATATAAATTATGTTTCTAAGTCAAAACAACATAGCAACTATAAAAGGGAATTTGTGAATACACTATATGGTCATCAAATCCTAATATGGCAATATTGTGTGAATGCAATATTTGAAAAAAACTTTGTGAATACAAAATAATGTAATTAATTACATATATGCTAACATGTGTGTTCGTAATATACAAATTGTGAATTTTTAAAAAGTAAATTTTGAATAGTTAGTATCCGAATAGAGGCAAATGCTTATCATGTACCAACTATCCACGATTGAAGATGATGACTGAATTAATATAAATCGTTGTCATACATCAACTTACTGTACTTGATGATGAATAAATTGACGTAAAATGTTAAACATATATGACTAACTGTGTTTGATTGACGACTAAATCGACGTGCAATTCATTCGTTGTTTCGAGCTATAAACTAAAAAACATATTAATGGAAGTTTCAATTGGAAAACAGCCGTGCAGAATAATCTTCTTTTTTTCTCATTTTTTTATTCTGCCGCCCGCCCGCCCATGTTTAAAAAAGAAAAAAAAAAAAAAACTCAAAAAAACCCTTGTATTCAAAATGAAAAAAATGATACTTGTAATATTTTTTCTCAGTTATTCATTTGTTTACATTATTTTTTGAATCATGTACTTTAAAATAGTAAAATACTTATTTAAATATTAATATTAGGTATTAGGTATTAGGTACTACCTCCGTCCCATTTTGTTTGTCTGGTTCGGTTAACGAGGCTTGACTGAAGCTATTTTTACTTCAATTTTTCATAATATTAAATTTATTTTTAGTATATAAAATTTATATATTTAGAAACTACATTAAAAGTACTATTAAACATAAAAAATCAAATTTAAAAATAATTAAAAATTACTAAAGAAAATAATCAATGAAGAAAGAGTTGGATTGACCAATGAATAGTAAACATGACAGGCAAAATGGGACAGAGGGAGTATTAGGTAAACATATACGGAGTAATTAAAAAGGAACAAATGTCTCTTTCCAATTTTATTTTTTACTTTATGACGGCCAATTTTTTTCTTTTCAAAATTGCCGCCTAAATTTATTATTATTATTATTATTATTATTATTATTTTTTTTTTTCACTTTGTTGACACCTTTGAACTTGTCTGCCTGAGTTAGACACTCTCCAGACTCCCGTGAAAATTCAAATTTTTTGGTGCACAATTTGGCGCTGAAGCTTTTCTAGTCAAAGTGCGAAATTATGCGCCATTTTGGTGTTAGTCAATATGGTGCTACACTGTAGATAAAAGGCAAAATGATATAAAAAAATAAATGTCAAGTTTGCTTTTTGTCTTTTTAAATTATGGTAATTGAATTGAACATGAACCATAGATGTTACACTTTGAGAGGTTGCTCCAACACTGTTGCTGGTGAGACTCAATCTCTCATCATTCTTTTCAATTTTCACTTCTATGACCTGTTGAGCTGCCAATGCAGGTCTTTATTTTGTTTTTATGAATTTATAAATGAAGGGTTTAGGGTTTAACAGAACAAACGGACATAAATGAAGGGTTTAACTTTCATTTACACTTATTATGTTTTTAGACTAGTATAAATTTTGTTTAAAAATAAATCTAGTACAAAATGATTTTACATGAAATCATTGATGGAAAATTTTGATTTTCCGACCACCTAAAATGGTCGAAAAGTGATATTTTTTTAATTTTTCATCCTAGGATTATGGTGGGGAAATAGGTCGGAATTTTCGACCATCTTTACTTAGTGGTCGGAAATACTGACCACAAAGTAAAGGTGGTAGAAAAAAAATTTGATAGTTTAAATTTTTTAAATTAAGTTGAGAATTTTTGTTAATCTTTCTAGTAGTCGATTGTTCCGACCACTTCACAAATTTGGATGCTATTTCCGACCACATTTTCGGTGGTCGGAAATAGCAACAAAAGTTTTTCCGGATGCCAAAAGTGATCAGAACAAGAACTTCCAACTTATTTAAGATTTTCAAGCAATGAATGTGTAATACATTTAGTTAAAATATACTCTGTAATAATTTTGATAAGTTTACAGAAAAATATTACTCCGTACAACATATCTCCGTACAAGACCTCCTCCATACAAAATGGTGATGTATATTTATAAGTTGACAAGGATTGAGAGACTGAGGGTGGATTTAGTTTCTGTTATTATTATTTTTGTAGAAAAATGGAAAATAGAAAACAAAAAGAAAAACAGAAAATGGTATCTAGCTTTTGAGAATAATTCCTTAAATCAATATGAAAATTGAACCCAAAAATGAAGTAAAAGACTCAGCATTTGTGTACATAATTTACAAAATGTTGATACTAAGAACGTGCTTGATTTTATCGTAATCTTTTCCATAGAATTCTAAGTAACCTACTGTCTTGCCTTCACGTTTGAGCGACATTTTGGGCATGTTTACAATACTCACTTCTCGGAGATGATCCAGCGATCTGAGCCCCTCTGGGAGATTTTTAAGGCTCCCGCATCTTTCAACGGTGAGAGTAGAAAGGTTACGCATAGATCCTTCTCCAAGAGTCCAATCCTTTAACTCGTGCAAATTTGAGAGTTTGAGATATCTGAGACGGGGAAAACTTAATGCTTTACAATCCATTCCGCCCCCAAGATAGGCTCCATTGCATATGATAAGTTTGTGTAATTGGGGGATTTTCCCCAATACTGGCATCGGATCTTCAGTAAGTTCAGAACCCAGCAAGAAGAGCTCTGTGAGCTTGGAGGAAATAGGGATAGTGTATGATAACTTGCCTATGTGCCCCTCCACGCGTAACGCGTTCAAGTATTCACACCCCAGTAGGTTACTTAGAGCCGAGAGTCGTTTCTGAGAGTAACAATCAAAGTTTTTGAGGACAATGGATGATGATTTTAATCTGTGTTTGTTTATACATTTGATAGTCTCCCCGAGGTCATCCAGGTTTCCATCAATAGTTGCCGCCAAACACTTGAGGTTTTCAAGTCCGGTGAGATCTTTACACCGACAATGGGTTGAAGCAAAGTTGTTTAGATTCTCAAGCTCACTTAGGCCATCCAACTGCAATTTTTTCTCACCAACTGCATGAAACTTTTGAGGGAAATAAAGACTCTTCAATCTTGTAATCTTATACAACAGATTAGATATGCTCATGTCAACCGTGGGGTTAACCCGCAAATCAAGAATTTCCAAGTTTGGCAACCTGCCGATGGATGGCGGCAACTCCTGCAGGTTGCAGCCTCTGAAACTCAGATACCGCAGGGTTGCGAGATTCTGGATGTCTTTTGGCAACTTCATGACATGAAAGTCAAGTGAATTGAAGTCTAACACCCTTAGCAATCTGCAATTCTTCAAAACTAATGATTTTGGCAATAATAAATGTTCATCTGGTACCGGGTGGGCATTCAAAAACAAGAAAGATCTTAGTTTCCTAGATTTGTTTGGATTTGGAAAATTATACCTACCCACACGCTTGTCAAAATAAAAGGCAAGTGCACGCACATTATCAGTAAGCTTATTGTCTTGATTACTATTCGCAGCAGCTCTAAGGTCCACAGCTGCGAACAACCTTTCCTCTTCTGCCTTTTGACAGCATAGTTCTCGCACCAAGTCATGAAGACGCCATGATTTGATCTTTGTTAACATTGGTGTTTCCTCTTCTTGAACCTGGACCAAGCCTACATTCGCTAGTTCTTTCAGATATGATTCTGCGGTGGACAGCATGGTGGAATTGCAATCTGTGGGTATCAACCCTTCAGCTATCCACAGATTGTACAACTTCTCTGCTTCTGTATCTGTGTCTTTTGGAAAAACTGCCAGATAAAGTAAACAGCTCTTCAGATTCCCGGGCAAAAGATTATAAGACAACTCTAAAGTGTCTTTTACAGAAGTAAACTTTTTGTGTAATAACTTCCACTCATCGATGGAGTGTTTCTCTGCCATCAAGTCTCCCAGCACCATTATCTTTAATGGCACATCATTACACTTTTTGACTACATCTCTGCATATATCTTTCAACTCCTGGTTCTCTTCAAATTCTACATACCAAAAACTATATAATTAAACATTATATTTAATCAATCGTATGAGTTGAGTTAGTTAAATAACAGAAGATCGAATTTAACCTGATTTGTGGCTAGGCAATTGCTTTTGGAGAAACAGCTCCCAACTTTGAGCTTCACTTAATGGTTCCATTATTAGAATATGTCCTTTCCTCCCTAAAATCTTCTCAGCTTGATATTTTCCCCGAGTGGTAATCACAACTCTGCTGCGAATTCTAACAGTAATGGGCAGAGCAATTAGGGAAGCCTCCGTTAAGCGAACATCATCAAGAACGATGAGGTATCTCCCAGACTGCAAGGATGAGTGAAGGCTCTGCGCCAAAGCACTATCACTTAATTTCATCATTTCATCTTTTCTCCCGGGCTCAATCTGTGACATGATATCCTGCCAAAGGGTTTTGGCTTGGACCTGGTGGGGTGCAGTGATCCAAGCACACCCCATAAATTTATGTCGGACATCAGGCGTGTTGAATACCTTCAGCACCAGTGTAGTTTTGCCCAAACCTCCCTCCCCGCACACAGCGAACAAGGGGTACTCTGCAGTGTCCTTCTCCAGGAATTCCACCAGTCTCCCAATATCTTCTTCCCTCCCAACTACAACTTCATTCACTGCTCCTTTTTCTTCACTTCTGGTTATCAGCGACGGAACCCATTTTTCTGTTCCACTAGAGTATTCTCCCATTTCTATCTCCAATTTCTCCATCTCTTCTTCAACTTCACGTATACTCAACCGGAGGCCAGGAAGTCGGAAGTGACACAACAGCAAAGTGAAGAATCTTTTTACGAGCCCAAAGAATCCTTTCCGCCGGTTGCATCTCCACAAAAGCTGTGATGCGTTATCTTCAATATAACGAATCTTACCACAAATTTCTTCGATTTTGAGCCTCCTCCAGTCACCCACCTTCTTGTCCTCGTTTTTGTTTTCAAGCTCCCAGAGTCGCTTAAGCTCTTTGAGTCGTAGCAGATGCCATCCGAGATCATTGACTTGATCAACCAAACTCGGTTCCGCCATCATGATACGCATCATTGTCAGTTTCTCTTTCAAGTTTCAACAGGGATGAATTTCCAAAGCAATACACAGTACACATTTCCAGTTTGTATATATCCATATATAGGTGAGAGTAAGTGAGTAACCGTTTTCCTATTTATTATTATAACTGTTAATAATATATGTTACATTAGTATTTTATTATATAGTTTATATGTTTGCAGGTTAGTTTGTTTCTCTAGCATCCCTTCACATCCCTGGCCTTTGGCATGCCTTGGCCCTTCATATCCCTACTTTATTTACTTCAAACAATGTCAACGAATTCTTCTGGGCGTACGGTGACAACCACCACTGTTCCCGCTCAGGCCACCACCAACTCCCTAAACACTGCCCACCACTTCGTTTCAATTAAATTAAACACTAGGAATTTTCTTTTTTGGTGTACGCAAATCGTACCCTTTTTACGTGGACAAGGGTTGCTGGGTTACATCGATGGTTCTCTCCCGTGTCCTCCGGCAACCATCGCCATCGCGGATCTTCCCGGTGACTCCGATGTCACCGCTGCCGGCTCCACCGTTCCAAATTCGACACACACCGCCTGGGTTCAACAGGATCAATCGATCCTCTCTCTCCTTATCTCGTTGCTCTCCGACGAGGTAATGCACCTCGCAGTAGGCCGGAACACCGCCCAGGAGGTGTAACTCCGTCACATCCGCATTGGCGTCGTCGACAATGGCCAGGTGCTTGAGCCTCCTAGGTCAGTTTCAGACGCTCCGGCAGGGGAGCAGTCCGGCGTCGGAGTATCTAGGCAAGGCGCAGAGGATCGTGGAAGCCTTGGCTCTCGCCGGTCGGCCTCTATCCCTCGACGAACAGATATTGTACGTGCTGCGCGGACTCCGGCAAGAATTCCGGACAATGGTGAGCGCCCTGACGGTCACGGGCACTCCGGTCAGTCTCTCCCAGCTGGTTGATCTCCTTCAGGCGCAAGACTTTATTCATGCTGATGAGTTCTCGTTGGCGGATCATGGTGGCTCTCCGACGGCCCTCTACGCTGGTCGTGGCAACCAGCATGGTGGCGGGTCTGGTTCTAGCGGTCGATGGTCATCTAACAGTCGCAGCCTTGGACAGGGGAGGCACGGCCAGGGGCGTGGTCATGGCGGCAATCCTCGCTGCCAAATCTACAAGAGTCACGGCCACACTGCTGTCTACTGCAACCGTCGCTATGCTGATCCTCCCGCTCCGCATGCGAATGTCGCAGTTTCCGTCGACTCACCGGCAGACACCTAGGTCGACGCGTGGTTCCCGGATACCGGAGCATCCACCCACGCTACGCTGGACGAGCAGTTGATCGGCCGATCGGAGGTGTACACGGGCAACGACGTCCTTAAAGTCGGGAATGGCGCAAGTTTGAATGTGTCCCATGTTGGCCATACGATTATCCCATCCAAGTCCAAATCTCTTAATATGTCTAATATTTTAATTGTGCCAAAATTGTCATTATCTCTCTTATCCGTTTACCGGTTCACTAACGAAAACAACGTCTTTTTCGAGTTTCATAAGAATTCTTTTTTTGTGAAGGACTGCACCACCAAGGCGGTTATTCTTAAGGGATCCACCACGGGTGGTTTATACAAATTGTTGGTGCCGTGGACGCATTTTGCTTTTCTCACCGCTAAAGCGTCGCCCAAAATCTGGCATCAACGATTAGGTCACCCTAAAAAACAAGTCCTTCATCGTGTCCTCAAACATTGTTCGATCACGTCAAATAAAGCCAACGAGTCAGAAGTTTGTACAGCGTGTCAACTTGGCAAATCGGCACGATTCCCGTTAGATAGAGTCCCTACTTCAAGTTTAAATGTTTTAGATTTGGTGTATACGGATATCAGGGGCCCGTCCCCTGTAATTTCTGATTTTGGCTGTCGTTATTTTGTTTTGTTTGTAGAGGATTTCTCACGTTTTTGCTGGTTTTATCCCTTACGGTTATAATCAGATATATATAAAAGCTTTGAGTTGTTTCGGGTGATGGTAGAACGACGGTTTTCGCGTTCTATCAAAGCCATTCGGTCTGACTTAGGCGGGGAATATCAACGCCTTCATAACATTTTTCAATCCCTCAGCATTATCCATAGGCAATCGTGTGCATACACGCATGAACAAAATGGGCGAGTGGAACGCCGGAACAGACACATTGTCGAAACCGGTTTGGCACTTCTAGCCGAAATGTAACACCCCTAATTTTAAAAACTTTTAAAGCTTATGAAATAAAGGTAAATCTATTATAAATTCCCAAACAGAGCATAAGCTAACACAATAGTCGGGGTGCTATGCCACATCTGAGCTGGAGAATTCAGATGCTCAGGCTAAACTATCCAAACATAAGAAATCCTCAAATCAACATTCGATACAACTTCAAGGCACGCAGGCCGATAATTGAACTAATCTAACTAAGTCTAGGTTCTGACTAGTGCGCTCCATAGCTAAGGTTCATTACCTGAAAATCATTCGGTATAACAACCGTCAGCGAATAATGCTGGTAACCCACTCCAACGCGTTAAGTACAATATAGGTAGATATAAGAAACTCATTTTGAAACTAGAATACATATATATACTTAGGAGACTCTAATTTAACTCCGAGAGTAGACTCAATCAAGCAATAGCAGGTACTTTCAACACAATTAGACACAACCATAAAGATTCTAGCATGCATCCTAAGGTCACATGACTACGCAGTACCAACCAAATCATTACTCAGTCATCATTACACAATCAACAACAAGACACGCAACAGTGTACACAAATATGGTGGTGCCGCAGGACCAATCGCATGCCCATACATGAGGATCAGCGTATATAGCTCTGACACGGCCCCGCAGCACTTTAACTTGTACCGCAGCACAAGGGGATTGATCGCAACCAATCAATGAACTGCAACTCATTCATATCATAAACGTTTGATCGCAACCAAACGGTAGACCGCAACCCTATATATATATATATATATATATATATATATATATATATATATATATATATATATATATATATATATATATATATATATATATATATATATATATATATATAGAAGCCGATTGTTCTCAACCAATCCAACTGCCTGTATAGCCGACCGATCACAACCGGCCGGGTTAACACCTGGTGGTTCTCAACCCACCAGATAGTCATCATAGTCAATTGATCGCAACCAATTGGGGTATCATGCACAATCAACATAGAAGCCATACAACATGCAACCCACATTAACAGATACGAGGGGGAATCATCGGGGAACTCTTACGTAACAAACCATATTAAACCACTCATGACACTCCTACGGGATCATACACCTTCCTCCTAGGCCAACAGGATACCAATTCAACTAGCATGCAGTACACAAGACTCTTTTATCCTAATAATAGCACCCGAAACATCAAACTAGGCTCACACACGACAAACGGGACACAATGGGACACGGGGAAACATCAAACGGGGAAAAACACCCTGAATCACGCCGAAATTCCAGCGGGTTTGCCAGCCGGCTGCCCGATGGAACAGTAGATCCGGGTAGCGGGTAGGTGGCAGGAGGTCAATCCCCCACCTACCCCCCACTGATATACAGACAACTTTATGGTCCCGGGGTACTTCGTGGAACCCGAAACCACGTCCAAACACATTCAAACATAGAACGACGACACCACACATTTAATTAATGGAATTAAACCAAGAATTACGACCGATACGTTCAGACACGATTCCTAAACATGCCAAGACCTAACACGAATCATACAACTGTTCAAGAGCATCCGGAACCACAAGAACATCAAGAAGTCTACATGCAAGTCCTAAACACAAGTCCTAGACTAGACTCAACACCCGATCATGCATAATCCCACCCAAATAAACTAAGAACATCATAATACGAATTTCACGATAAACCCTAGGGCTCGAGACACAATCGAAATACGAGATCATCATATAAT